GCCTTCCTCTGCAAACGTTAGGTGCAAGCGTTCGTGTACCTAGACAACTGTCTCATCAAGGCCGAGTCCCAAGTACAGGCTGCAAAGCATGTGTTCCTGGCCAGGCCCACGTTCCACAGTCTGGGACGCATATTGAATGTGCCCAAATCCACACCGTTCCCGACACAGAGAATAGAATTCATAGGGGTTCTCTTGGACTCCACGCAAGCCAGGGCGCTCCTGCCCAAGCCATGCTTCCAAGCACTCACGGACATTATTGAAAACCTTCGCCAGTTTCCCACAATGATGGCCAGAAATTGCATGGAACTATTGGGGCATATGGCAGCCTGCAAATACGTGATCCAGCATGCCAGGTTACAGCTTCGGCCCCTCCAGGTGTGGTTCAAGCAGGTGCACAAGCCAGGCAGTGATAGTTACCCTCCTACCTCGCAGTCTCGAGTCTTTCCGCTGGTGGCTGCTGCCACAAGTGATTTGTGCAAGAGTACCCTTTGCCAACCTGCATCCTACGCTATCGCTGGTCATGGACGCCTTGATGCTTGGTTGGGAGGGCGCACCTGGGCAATATCAGAACCCAGGGCCTATGGTCCCACGCAGAACTATCACTGCATAGCAATGTAAGGGAGCTGAGGGTTTGTCTGGCAGGCCAAGCTTTCCAGGCCCACCTGCAGGCCACATGCGTATCGGTGCTGACGGACAATACTGCAGCGATGTTCTGTATAAACGGGGTGGTGCTCGCTCCTCTTCCCTGTGCCAGGAAGCCCTCAAACTTGGGATTTTTGCATCACCCACTCGATACACCTAGAGGCATCGCACCTTCCGGGAGCGCAACATGAGCTAGCTGACCACCTCAGCTGCTCATTTCACGGTCACGAATGGTCCCTCAGGCCAGACATCATGGTCTTGCTTTTCCAGAGGTGGGGCTCTCCCCACATAGACCTGTTTGCGAGGCAGAGCTACAGGAAGTGTCAGCGGTTCTGCTCTTTCCTGAACCACAGCCTTTCACCTTTCGTAGCTGGGTCGCCTGCTGTATGCGTTTCTGCCCTTCCCTCTCATACACCGAGTCCTCCTTAAGACTCGCTGGGATGGGGCTTCCTTGATCCTCATAGTGCCAGCATGGCCCCGGCAGCACTGGTTCACCGTGATGTTGAACCTCTCCGTGGACAGAACAGTGACGCTTCCTGTGTGCCCGACCCTCATCACACAGGACCACAGCTGTTTGCAACACCCCAGCCTGGAGTCCCTCCACCTCATGGTGTGGAAATTCAGTGGCTGAACCCTCTTGAGCTTCAGTGTTCAGATCCAGTGAGGGAGGTCCTGCCGGGAAGTAGGAAACCCTCCACTCATGCCACGTACCTGGCAAAGTGGAAGCATTTTTCCATCTGGTCTCGGCAAAGGGGAACCGAACCGCAGCTAGCATCAATTCCCCTTATTTTGGACTACCTGTTATACCGTAAGCAGCAGGGGTTGGCAATATCAATGCCAGGAGGAATCTTGCCATTTAGGCAGAATGGCTTAAATCACCTCTTGAAGCCAAACAGAAATCCTTCAAAAACTGGAAATCTGACCCTTGTGAAGCCAATAAGCAGAAGCACAAATTACAGCAGGCGATAGGTCAGAGTGAGATAAGAAGACTAAGATGGATTTTTGAAAAGCAAACAGTGAAAAATTCACGTGTATCAAAAGAAGAACTCCTACAGAAGAATAGGTGGGTGTCTGGGATATCTAAGTTTAAAAGTGCAATTAAGAAAGAGAAGGATGTTTCTGAGAAATGAAATATTTGCATCAGTCTTCACCACAGAGGATGTTCGCAAGATGCTTTCCCCAGGGCTGCTTTTTCTGTAATAAGCATGAAGCAGTAGCAGAAACTGAGGTGAAGTATTAGTGCTGGAATAAACTGGTAATTTAAAAAACCTGAAATCATCACGCCCTGATGGTTACATCTGAGAGTTCTGAAGGAGCCTATCAGAGCTACTTGCAAAACCATATAATCTCACTAAAAAGAGTTACGAGACCAGAGGATTGGTGAGCAACATGAAAAGGCAGATGTGGGATGCAATCATAAAGAATTAATGGATGGCAGCATTATTAATAAAAAGAAAAGGAGGACTTGTGGCACCTTAGAGACTAACCAATTTATTTGAGCATGAGCTTTCGTGAGCTACAGCTCACTTCATCGGATGCATACCGTGGAAACTGCAGCAGACTTTATATACACACAGAGAACATGAAACAATACCTCCTCCCACCCCACTGTCCTGCTGGTAATAGCTTATCTAAAGTGATCATCAGGTTGGGCCATTTCCAGCACAAATCCAGGTTTTCTCACCCCCCCCCCCCACACAGATTCACTCTCCTGCTGGTGATAGCCCATCCAAAGTGACAACTCTTTACACAATGTGCATGATAATCAAGTTGGGCCATTTCCTGCGCAAATCCAGGTTCTCTCACCCCCTCATCCCCCTCCCAAAAACCACACACACAAACCAGCAGGATAGTGAGTTTGTGTGTGTGGTTTTTGGGAGGGGGGTGAGGGGGTGAGAGAACCTGGATTTGCGCAGGAAATGGCCCAACTTGATTATCATGCACATTGTGTAAAGAGTTGTCACTTTGGATGGGCTATCACCAGCAGGAGAGTGAATCTGTGTGGGGGGGGTGGGGGGTGAGAAAACCTGGATTTGTGCTGGAAATGGCCCAACCTGATGATCACTTTAGATAAGCTATTACCAGCAGGACAGTGGGGTGGGAGGAGGTATTGTTTCATGTTCTCTGTGTGTATATAAAGTCTGCTGCAGTTTCCACGGTATGCATCCGATGAAGTGAGCTGTAGCTCACGAAAGCTCATGCTCAAATAAATTGGTTAGTCTCGAAGGTGCCACAAGTCCTCCTTTTCTTTTTGCGAATACAGACTAACACGGCTGTTACTCTGAAACCTAGCATTATTAATGTTAGTCAACGTGGTTTCATGGAAAATAGCTCTTATCAAACAAATGGGGTTTTTGTTAGCTGGTGGATATTCCAATACTTAGATTTACCAAGCCAGCATAAAACAGCTTCTCTAATATTTCCTTGGTTACCCAGAAGCCAACAACACAGTTCCCTTAAAGTGATCCAGCCCCAGGTCTCCATCCAGGTACCTAAGTCAAATATAACAAGGAGTCCGGTGGCACTTAAAGACTAACAGATTTATTTGAGCATAAGTTTTAATGGGTAAAAACCTCACTTCTTCAGCTGCATGGAGTGAAAGTTACAGATGCAGACACAAATATACTGACAGAGAGTTACCTCAAAAGGGGAGAACCAGTGTTGACAGGGCCAGTTCGATCAGGGTGGATGTAGTCCACTCCCAACAATAGATGAGGAGGTGTCAATTCCAGGAGGGGGTCATCTCCCCAGGGGAGGGAAGGGGCCAGAAAGGGGCGGGGTCAGCTCCATGGGGGAGGGTGGGAAGCTGCGCCATGCAGGGGGGGGGCACAACTCTGCCTGGGAGGGAGGGAGCAGGAGAGGGGTTGTGGGGGGGGGGGTCATCTCCACACGGGAGGGAGGGACAAAGACAGAGGCTGGGGGGGGCAGCTTCATGTGGGAGGGAGACAGGGGGATTGGGGAGGAGGGAGGGTGCAGGAGAGGGGTTGGGGGGGGCAACTCCGTGCAGGAAGGAGATGTGCTGGGGGAGCGGGTTCCACACCGGGGCAATATGCTCAGTGCTCTCCTGCCTCTGGCTTTGCCAGGGGGTGGGGGTATCAGAGGGAAGAGGAAGGGCAGGGCGGGTCCGGAGTTCCTGCCTTTGGGGAGGCAGCCCAATTAGCCAGGGCCCCGTGGGCCCATACTGTGAACACACTCTCTGACTGGTCTGAATTTCACCTAGGGTTGCCAAGTGTCTAATTGCTCAAACCCAAACACCCTTGCCCTGCCCTACCTCTGCCCTGCCCCTTCTCTGAGGCCCCGCCCCCACTCACACCATCTTCCCTCCCACCATCACTGGCTCACCCCCACCCTCACTCTCACTCACTTTCACCAGGCTGGGGCAGGTGGTCGGGGGGTTCAGAGTGTGGGAGTGGGCTCCAAGCTAAGCCTGGGGGTTGGGGTGCAGGAGGGGGTGCCAGGTGTGATCTCTGGAAGGGAGTTTGGGTGCAGGAGGGGGCCCACCCCTGGGGTGCGGGCTCTGGCCAGGTGGTGCTTACTTTGAGTGGCTCCCAGATGCGGCCAGCCTGTCCGGCTGTGTGTGGAGAACCCCTGGCCACCCCTGCGCCTAGAAGCCAGATGTGCCAGCCACTTCTGGGAACTGTGTGGAGCCGGGGTAGACAGGGAGCCTGCCTTAGCCCCACTGCACTGCTGGCTGGACTTTTAGCGGCCTATTAAAATCTCACGGATTGGTTGCAGTAGCCACTAGGAGAGTGATTCTGGGAGATGCCCGGCCAAGCCAGGATGGTTGGCAGCCCTAATTGCCCCCAAGAACGTGACCCGGCTCAGCGTCCAGCTCGAAGAGAGCTCCGTAATCCCCAGTATGGGAAACGGCAGCACTGGCTGAGGTCAGCAGGGACCAGGCTGCACCGAGCCTGACTAAGAGCGGGACCAGAAAGCTGGAGGCATACCTGGCTTAAGGGAGCACTTGTGACCTGCCTGATATGGGTTTCTCAATTCTTGACTCTAATGGTTAATGTCAAAACTCTGTCGGATTTTTCTTTTGTCCCAGCCTGGTAGGAAAAGCCCAGGAGCCTGAGGGCTCTGTGGAAGAGAGAGCAACTCCCCGACAACCATAAGGCGAAGGCCTTGGGCTCACCCTTGCCAGGATCCAGGAGCGAGCGCTTTGCGCAGCCCCTAGCCCAAACCTCAGCCAGTTTTTCACATGCTGATTTTGCATGAAATCAGGAAATGCAGCCTCTACCCAGCGTATTGGATACATTTCATGAGCTAAACTGTGTGAATGTCCTGCCCTGAGGCCATTACCTGCCATGCGGTGGGGGTGGGGTGTGCGGGTGCCATTGCCACACGACACAGCTCAGTTATTCAATATTTGCATTTTATTTCAGTTGACAGAGACAGCCCCGTAGTTGGGGGCCATTTCCTGGCCTCCGGCTCATGGCACCTTTAGTTTCTGAACTGTTTGGGCCGGGCCAGCGTCTTCCAGGGCTGCAGGGCCTGGCTTTAGGGCTTAGGGGAGCTTGTCTCTGCACCAGGTGTGGAGAGAGACGTGTCTTTCGCTGCTGCAGACGCAAGACGACAGGCTGACATCAGACACACGGGAGCGTGCAGTTGGCGATGGCCCCAGCTCTCTGTGCAAACCCTAGCCCTTGCTGATGCTCGGAGGGCCCGTGAGTCCAGAGTCGGCAGAGCTGTGGATGGACCATGCAGGTCAGGACTGAGTGGAGCAGGCTGATTCTGGCCCATCGCTGTCTGTTATATTCAGTGTTAGGCAGGGCCAGTCCGTCACCTTCACTGGCATCGAACTCTCTTACACACAGCACATAACAGGGCCTCTGTGCATTATAATTCACCAAAAACTCCTCTTCCGAGCAAGTCCTTTCCATCTGGCCACTAGACCCAGGGTGCTGGGCCCGGTAAGATGCCCTCAGAGGCTGCCTGCGGGCTGGGATTTCCAGGCAGCAGCTTACTCGGCCAAAGCCGCCAGCACTGGAGGTGAGAGAGTGACCCTGAGCAGCAGGTGCTAGGTTCCTTGTGGCGAGCAGTGGATCCAGGCCCAGCTGGGCCCGAGTCAGACCCAAAGCACCAGGACCTCCCCACCCAACCAGCCACCCAGCTGGGTGGAAGCATGAGACAAGGCCAGCCGGGGGGACAGCTCAGAGCAGCGCTGCTGCAATAAATTACTTTGCAGCAGGGAAATAATTTATATGGTGCGTGTGGGGTGAAAGTCCAGGGGCAGGGGAAGCAGCTTGGGTGGCTGAGACTGCAGCCCCGCAGACCCTGGTGCCATGTGCTGGGTACGGCACCCTCAGGTGCTCTTCCACAGACTGCCCTTCTCCGGGGGCAGCTCTTCCGTCAGAAAGAGGTAGGAGCTGATGGCTTCCCGCAGGCCCAGGCTGACTGGGGACTCCCCCTCTGTGGGCGGAGCCTCCGATAACAGGGCCGAGCTACAGGCAGAAGAGAGGGATGCTTAGGACAGTCACTCTATTCACCAGCAGCCTGGCACCCGCCAGACTTGGCCCTGCCCCCCGCTCTAACCAGTGACCGCATCACTGGCACCAAGGCTAAGCACCAGCCTAGAGGCAGACAGGCCCCAGCCTGAGCTGCTGTGTCCCCTTGTGTCTGGTGGGTCCTTGGAGGCCCCCTCCCTGCTCAGCACCCTGGGGAGCCGTGCACCCTAGATCCTGCACCCAGATGGGCCAGGAGGGCATTGCAGGTCCCCCCACAGCAGGGCTCTCCCCCTCACTCCCCCGCCCCAATGCACAAGGAGGTCTCCACTCCTGCCATCCAAAGAGCCGTGGAGCCGTTCCAACCCCCGCCCGAGTGAGGGGCACCACCCTTTCCTGCCAGCAGCTTCCTACCTGTCGAGCTCCTGCCAGTTGAGAGCCGATTTCTTGATGACCACAGGCGGCGCCAGGTCCTGGGCTGGGGCTCGCACGGCTCCTTGGGTGAAGCACGGCTCCTTGAGGAGGCAGCACAACCCATCCCCGATTTCTGGGGCAGAGACACAGGGAGCATCAGCAATAGTGTCCCATTCACCTGCCCCCGGGGCATGCACACCCTGCGTGCACCCCAGACACACACTCCTCTGCCGGGGTGCCAGCTGCACTGACAGGCCGCCCGGCTGCAGGATGGCGCCCTGCTCACGCCACGGGGCAGCTGGAAATGAGCAGAGCCGGCCCGGGAGCGCTGCTGCTCGGGGTCAAGTAGCGCAGGCTGCTCGTTGCTGTGCGGCTTGGAGCACTCTGCCAAGCGGCGCTGGGCTGCTAGACCACACCCAGCACCCCTGGGCCTGCTTTCAGACACAGCTCTGCAGCCGTGACCCCTGCAAGTCACGCGCACAGTGGGACTGGCTTGGGGCAGCCAGGGAGGAGCATGCAGCCCTCCAAGTACATTGGGGGCAGCGCAGTCAGATGTGGCCAAGTCTGGCTCTGGGCTGCATGCTCCTCCCTGGAGCATGAGCAGTAGGGCCCACGGTGTGGCCCTGCTACTGGGAGGGGGGACGGTACTGAGGGGGTGTTACCAACCCAGGGCACTTTCGCCTGCTCCAAGCAGCACCATCCCTAAAGACAAGGGCCTATTCCTGGATTCATGGCGCCCCTGCCCCCCACCCCAATAAAATGGGGCTAAGAGCCCAGGCTGCGGAGGAATTGGGGAGCTGGGGGCTGCCACCCCAGTCCCTGCGCTCAGGCTGGCCTGGGGCAAGGTTGGCACCCCGAGCTCCTTGGTGAATCTCCCTTTCTCCCCCCACCACAGCGTCCGTGGGGGCCTGCAGGCCCCGGGCTGCGCACATTGACGGCCGCTTCCCACTGGGGCAGGGGCTCGTTAGAACCTGGGCTGTTACCAGAGTAATAGTCCACCAGCGCCTGCAGGCTGGGGAAGGTGAGGCGTGGGGCGATGTAGAGCCAGCTGTTCTCCAGGCGGTTGATGCGATAGTGTTTGACAGAGTCCCAGGAGGAGTGGTTGGTGTGCCTGACCGACAAGGAGTAGCAGCCTGCAAGGGGAGCAGTCATGACCCAGTGCCCTGGCTCCAGCACACTGCCACGGCCGGGGACACGGCTCGGAGTTGGGGCAGGGGCCTCCTGCCACACCAGCACGTCAGCTTCATTGCAACTGCACTGGACCCAACCCCATGGCAGCAGGCCCCAGCCCGAGCAGCCTCTGGGGGTTAGGACCATTCAGATTAGGGTGGAGCCCTGTGTTTGTGCTCAACACTGAACGCTGATTGGTGCGGGGAACAGACTTATTGGGCACATCAGCCAATTGACAGCAGCAAAATGGGATTTTCACAAGCTGGGGTCTGACTGGCCCATGTTCTGCACCACAAGCCAAGCTGATCAGTTGCTGGACAGCCATGGGGCTGATGGCCTAGATAGGCTTTGCCGCCCTTACGCCTCCCCTCCCTCTTGCCCCCACATCAGGCAAAGTGTGAGATCCCCTTGTCCTTGGAATACCTGCTCCAGAGTGCCTGAGCCTGGGGCCCAGAGCCAGCCAGCTGCCTGGCCTGGGCTGTATGCTTAGCCCAGGGAGCCCTGCCTGCGGGAAGCACACTTGCACACTGGCCAGCCCGGTGGTGGGGTCGCTTTCCTGTCACGGCATGCACAGCAAGGTTTTCAGTTCCTAAGCTGGTAACTGAATGCTGCAGGAAGCTTTCTGCCTGGGGGCAGTGGGGGGAGGGAAGTGTGACACAAACCCAGTGTACTCAGGAAACCGCTGGGCTTGTCAGCAAGCTAAAGCTGCAGGTGCGAGTGATTGGAGATAAGGCCACTGCACTACACATTGCCGTCATGTGCACCGCAGATGAGGCTGGAGGCCTCAGTAAATAACACATTGAATTCAGCCCTTGAAACCGTTGCTCCTCTGGCCCGAGGTAGGGATCTTCCTACCATGAGTGGCCCTGGGGAAGGCAGCAGGAGCTGTGAGTACGACACGCAGCAGCTGATGTGTGCAGGGGCAGGCTTCCACTTCCAAAGAGCTTGTGCTTTAGTATCCAGTGCTTCCCTTGGGCCAGCTGGGACCGAACCATCCTGGGCTGCTCTGCCCGGGCCTGACTCAGCTCTGCCCTGCTGGGCTGTCACTACACAGACCTAGCGCTTTGGCATAGTGGCCAGTGCGGGCAGAAAGCCAGCCCCTGCCTTGGATCACCATGATCGACTTAGCAGGCCTTTTAGGGAAAGGTTCAGGTCCAGTTCTGGGCCCCAGCCCTGCTCCACGAGCTCCGAGGGGGAGCTAACATTTTAAGGGGGCCCAGGATTGTCAGTGAAATCTTTGCTTGTGCCCTGGGGCTGCTCTAAGTTATGCTGGGGCCATTTCAGCCCCAGTCCGCTGCAGGAGCGCAGACCTGGAAAGGCACCAACATCACACCTGAGAGCAGGGATCTGACCTCAGTGGAAACAGGTGTGCAGCTGCCTCGCAGAGCCATGCCCCACCAAACAGCCGCCGCAACGGGTGAACTTCCCCTCACACCAGCCCTCCCTTTCGCATGCAGCCCCAAGCAGCGAGCAGCAAAGGCCCACCCCCGGGCTCTGTGCTCCCACAGGGGTGTGGGGGGGCCAGTTTGGCGGCTGTGTGTATCAACGAGCAGCCTTTTAGCAGCAATTCCGACAGTAGCTGCGGCTCTCATGCACTTGGGCCCTGAGAGCCCTTTGCCCCATCTCTGTCATTCCCTACAAGAGTGGCCAGGCGCCTTCTGGGGAGAGGCAATGATGGGCTGGGGGTGCGTAGCAATTCCCTGCTCAGGCGCCAGGCTGTGCCCAAAAACAGGCACCAGCCCAGGCTAGACTCTGTCCTGAGCCATGCTGACGGCAACAGCCCAGAAATCTCCGTGACCCTGGAGCCCTTCCCCCGTCAGGGACAGCCTGGGCATGGCAGGAGGCACTGTGGGGTGAGCTCTGAGGCTGGAACACTGCCCAAATGTGAGGCTGGCAGCCTCAGGGTGGGCATGTGGGTGGGGCAGTGCCCAGGCATCTCGCTGCAGGGCTCCTGCTCACTAAGAGGAACCAGCCCCATGGTTCCTGGCCCTTGTGCTCCAGCCCGGCAGGCAGGTGGAGGGCTCTTGGCAGCAGCTCTGTGAAGTTACTTACCTTGCCTGGTCTGGCTCTCTCGGATCAGAAAGGAACCGCTGCGGTTGCACGGCAGAAGCAGCAGCTCCTCAGCTTTCTCCCGGCTAACACCCTCGTACAGCCACCTGGCAGCAATGACAGGACGCTGAGCACCGGGGATTGGCAGCAGGCAGCCCCACTCCTACGCCATCCCAGCGCCCCGCCCTACTGCGGAGCTGCCCTCCAGGGCAGGCAGGGCTCAGCCCTCCCCCACTATGAGGACAGCCCTGCCTTGGCAGGGGACGGACTGCAGGGTAGACTGCGTGGTCCCATTCCTGGCTCCCACCCGAGCCACATGTTCCCCGGGGCCCAGACTCATGGCCAGGCTGTTCGTTACACTTGGCCTTGGCTTCCTCTGGGGGGAATCTCACCGTGGGATGACTTCACCCGGCAGCGCAAGGCAGCTGCCTCCCGGCTGGACCGGCTACACTGGCTGATGGCACACAGCAACACCGCGTGGGCTTGGAGACCGGCAGCGAAAAGCAACACTGCCAGGAAGGGGAATGTAGGAAGGCCGACAGGCCAGGCCAGCACTGTTACACCTCCCCTGCACACAGGAACCCCAAGGTGCCTTCCATGCCCACACGCGGTCAGGACTCAATGGCCCAGTGGCCAGGGCGTAACATGGTCTCCAGGAAGTTAACTACGGCATTCAGACCAGCCAAGAACCCAACTCGTCAGGCTGCGTCTTCCTGGAGCGCCGGCCCCGGCCCCCTGTCAGCACCACACAGCCCCCGGCACCATGCTGAGGCTTCACAACACCACTGCCATGGTACAAACGCCAAAGCGTGCTCTGGAGAATCGCCGCAAAGGGGCCGGGAGCAGGGCCGACTGGCTTGACGCTGGTTTTGCCTCCTGTGGGGCCCGTGTTCTGCATTTCAGCCCCAGCTCTGTTCAAAGGAGCAGGAGACAATAGCTGGGGGGAGGGGAGAGGAAGCTGTGGCTCAGCGGGTGTCGCTCAGGGGGTCTCAGCTGCATCAGGAAGCCTGTGGGGGCACGTGCAGCTCCCTGCCACCTGCGTAGCAGAGTTTGCCGCATGCTCAGCTCTAGGGCTGCCTGTGCTTCACCTGGAGCCCGACCCCCTCCACCACATCCCAGCTGACCCTCCGACAGCCGCTGGGTGGCCCCTGCATGCACCAGCCTCACTCCGGGGACAGCTCCCGGGACCCATCTCAGCCCCCCATGCCCTGAGCCCATTGCAGGGATGGGAGGGGTGGCCTGGAGCATTGGGGCTGCCTCCCCTCCTCCCTAGCTCTGCATCCGTGAGGCACCTAGGTGGGGCTCTGGGCCCCAGCACTGCCTGAGTGCACTGAGCCCATGGGTACCTACGGCCTGCAGAGCCCCAGGTCTTATTGGAAAACCCAGGAAGTGGGTGAGCGCAAGCCCACCCACTGCTAAAGGCCCCTCCACCAGCCTAGCAGGAGGGACCACTGGACCCGGGGACCAACTGATTACAGGGGACAACTAATGAAAAACAGGGACCGGAGCGAGGGTCAGAGGTTCAAAATGAGGATACCGGATGAGGACACCGAGCAGAGGTGTTCCAGCCCTGCTGCCTGTCTGGCACAGTCCCGCGGGGTGACTCACCCTGCCTGCAAACAGCCAGAGTAACGTTACTCTCCTGTGCATTCCCACCGCACCTGCCTGCATGGGAGTGTTTGCGGGAGTGCCTTCCTGTGTCTCTGCATCATCCGGCTCCAGGAGCCCTGGCCCCGCACTGCTGTGATACGGCACTAAACAACAGCACTGATAACGCCAGGCCCGTGGGCTCCTACCTGTGCCACACCTTCGCCACGTGGCTGCTGGGGACTGAACACTCCTTGCCGGTGGCTAGCGACACCACGTTCCACCATTCCCCATCCCTGTAAGAGAGAAGCGTTTCCAGGAATGCCACGGCCACTTGCCTCCAACCAAGGCCCCTGGCTGGGCTGTGCTGGTAGCCCCGTAGCTCCTTGCATTGGTTGACCCCCTCCCCCTCCAACGTACAGCCAGCCATCTCAGCCCACTGAGCTCACCAAGGGCCTCTTTGTTGCTGTGTCCTGAGTTTCTGAGGGCTCCTGAAATCAAAGCACTGGGGCTCGATTCCATGGGAGCTTGAAACGTGCCTGCAGGGCACAGCTCCCCACACAGCCAGACGCCGTTCCCGTGGGGCACGAGGCTTGCCGGGAGCCAGGAATGGGTCAGCAGAGGCTGCTCCCCTGTGACGGCTCCGCGTCCTGGCACCTGACAGAGAGCAGAGCCCCGTGTGAGACCCAGGCCAGAGGCAGGCTCCAGCACATGTCCCTGCAGGCAGGATTGCAGGGCATGGGAAATACATGACAAGAGCCTCTCCTAGGGTGCCCCAGAGCCTGGGGAAGCCAGAGGCTGTAGCACTGGCTGCTGTGGCCATGTTTTGAGAGGCCATGCATCTCTGGGGGGGGCAGAGCCCCTATGTGCCAACCTGGTTCAGCCTGGCACAGTATAATGAGGGCTCAGGCACAGCCTGGTCAGCACCCCAGTGTCGGGGAGGCCTCAGTCTCCTGTCTGGCCCCTGGGGTGGCACTTGGGGCTTAGCCCTGGGCAGCCAGGCTGCTCCCATGTGGGACTTACTCAGAGAGGACGTTCAGCTGCTCTCCTGGTCTCAGGATGGTCTCCACCCCACCCGCGGGGAAAGAGCACAAGGCAACTGCCACGTAGCTGTTCAGACCTGCGGAGAGACCATAGCACCTCAGAGCACAGCACTGCCCTTCCCCACCCACGGGGGCACGCCCGTGGCCTGGCGAGAGGGGCAGAGCAGTGCCGGGGTGAGCAGGCCCGTGGCTCTCAGCGGGTGCCCAGAGAAGGGGTATGTACAGGAACGGCCTTTGTGGTGTGTTGACTCTTGTGGGAGGTCGTGTTTTCTTTTGAGCCCCAGATCCCAGAGCCAGGGGTGCTGGAGAATCGGGGCTTTCAGGAAAAAGAGTCAGTGGCCAGCCCCAAAATCCAGAAAGCACGGCCCCAAAGCCGGAGAGTGCAACCTCCCGCAAGCCAGAGAGCGCGACCCCAGAAGCCGGAGAGGGCAACCCCGCAAGCCAGAGAGTGCAGCCCTGAAGCTGGAGTGCACCCCCTCCCCCAAGCCAGAGAGCATGGTCCCTCCCACCTCAGAAAGTTACAGACAAAGACATCCCCCCACCCAACTATTAGGATTTTTTTTTAAATTGAAAGATTTTAAGCCAATCTCATGCTTTTTTGGAGCCTGGCTGTGAGGTTTGCGTGCGTGAGGCCAGCAGCACAGCACTAGCCCCCACTGCAGGGGTCTTGCTCGGATTTATACCCCGCACCCATGCAACCTCAGTGGGGGTGAGTCAGCCTCATGCTCAGCCCCTTGCGTTTGACACTGTGGGACTTGCCCAGTTGCAGGGGCTATAGATGACCACTGGATGGCACTGTGCTGGGTCAGGGTTTCTCGCAGTGCTGGGGGAAGAGTGGGATGTCTGCTCTGCACTGTACAGTACTTCCCCAGAGGCCTTGGTTCCAGGCCCAGCCAGCCACGAGTCACTCGGGTTTTGCTCATGCCCATGAGTTCATAGAATCATAGAATATCAGAGTTGGAAGGGACCTCAGGAGGCCATCTAGTGCAACCCTCTGCTCAGAGCAGGATCAACCCCAACTAAACCATCCCAGCCAGGGCTTTGTCAAGCCTGACCTTAAAAACCTCTAAGGAAGGAGATTCCACCACCTCCCTAGGTAACGCATTCCAGTGTTTCACCACCCTCTTAGTGAAATAGCGTTTCCTAATATCCAACCTAGACCTCCCCCACTGCAACTTGAGACCATTACTCCTTGTTCCTTCATCTGCTACCACTGAGAACAGTCTAGAGCCAACCTCTTTGGAACCCCCTTCAAGTAGTTGAAGACTGCTATCAAGTCCCCCCTCACTCTTCTCTTCTGCAGACTAAATCATCCCAGTTCCCTCAGCCTCTTCTCGTAAATCATGTGTCCCATCTCCCTGATCATTTTCGTTGCCCTCCGCTGGACTCTCTCCAATGTGTCCACAACCTTTCTGTAGCTGAGGCCCCAAAACTGGACGCAGACTCCAGACGTGCCCTCACCCGTGCTGAAGAGAGGGGGAATAGAATTGCCTGTTTGGAGCACAGCCTGGATTACTGGAGCAGGTTGGCTCAGCTGAAGCCAAGCCCCCCAGTGCCTCAGGTGCTCTCAGACCCCGCTGGGAAAGCCAAGAACCAGCCTGTTTTCTGCTCCCGCTCTGCCTGTGGGCCATGCTGACAGGCTCTGCATGCTCCTGCCAGCCGAGCTCTCCCGGGGCACTCCCTGGCTCAGACACAGGGCCCCAGTGCAAACGGGGCAGGAGTCGTGTGAAATGCAACCCTCGTTCTGTGCACGGAGAGGTGCCGGACTTTCCTGCCAGCCTCACTCCTCCCAGACTGAGCCTGTGCTGGGTGCCTCAGTGCTAGGCCAGAGCAGGCGGATGGACACTGTTGGGCTCCTAGCAAAGGACACCCCGTAAGTGCGCAGCAGCACAGGGAGGGAAGAGGAGCCTTGTGCAAACCAGCCAGGAGAAACGAGGTCACTGGTTCCCCAGGGGCCTGCAGCCTTGGCATCTTGCCAGTCGTTCCCCACGGTAAAGACAACTGCTCGGTGCCCTGTCCTGCTCCTCCATGCTGGAGAAGCCGGGTCTGGCCATTGGGCAGCCAGGCCCCTGCCCCCCTCGCTGCTGGAGGATATGGCAGGGTCTCTGGCGGCTTTGAACAGTGATGCTGCACAGGCTGGAACCTGAGTCACGCATGTCCTACCGGCAACGGAAGAGGCTGATTCCTAGGGCTCTGTGCTGAGCCAGCAGGCAGGGCGCGACGGCAGGGTAGGCATAGAGCAGAAGGGGGACTGCAGTGCCCCAGTGGACGGATGCAGGATAGGGCTGTTCTGCACAGGCTGGGAACTCCGAGCTCACGTCTCACTGCTGCTCAGGGCTGCAAAGGGGCCATGAGTCCTACCTGTCTGCACGGGGGCAGTGGTCTGCATGGCAGCAGCTGGGCTGGACTGAATGACAAGCTGCTTCGTCCTGCTGGGCAAACTTCCCATCACTCCCGGGCACCAGCGGGGCCTCAGCAAACAGCTCTGACCTTCTGCAGCAGGGAGAGAAAGCTGAAAAACCAAGGGACGGCTCAATGCTTGAGCTCGTGGGCTGCTGCCTGCCCTGCTCCCTGTCCACCCCTGGTCTTGGGGGATCCCGGGCTGCCACCCCACACTGAGGGCTGCCCAGGGCACCCTGCTGCCCCTCAGTGAGGCTTTCAAATGGCCGACTGTCTCCCAGAGCCACATCCTGCTGGGGTGGGCGAGGGGCGTCCTTAGGATTTATGGGGCCCTACACAGTATTATTAAATGGGTGCCCCTATGCCCGATGGCAGCCTGAGCTCGCAGCCCGGAGGGGGGGGGTGAGGAGGGATGAGACAGCAAAGGCTAACGAAATGCCCGGCCCGCCTCACGGTGACAGAGTCACAGCTCCCCGCAGAGACACCCCCCCCCCGTACCCTCTGCCTCACGCAGAATGGACATGCAGAAGGTACCTAATTAAAAGCACTAAAAAGATCTAAGGGTGGCAATTTTGCAATAGAAAAGCTTCAAAAACAGACTCCAACGAGAAACTGCTGAGCTTAAATTAATATGCAAACTAGATACCACTAACTTGGGTTTGAATAGAGATTGGAAGTGGCTGGGTTATTACACTTATTGAAACTATTTCCTTAAGTTAAAAGAAAAGGAGTACTTGTGGCACCTTAGAGACTAACCAATTTATTTGAGCATGAGCTTTCGTGAGCTACAGCTGTTAGTCTCTAAGGTGCCACAAGTCCTCCTTTTCTTTTTGCGAATACAGACTAACACGGCTGTTCCTCTGAAACCTGTCCTTAAGTTAAGTATCCTCACAGCTTCTTGTCAACTGTCTAAATGGGCCATCTTGATTATCACCACAAAAGTTTTTTTTTTCCTGCTGATAATAGCTCATCTTAACTAATTAGCCTCTCAGAGTTTGTGTGGTAACTTCCAACTTATCTGTACGTGTGTGTGTGTGTGTGTGTATATATATGTTCCATCTGATGAAGTGGGCTGTAGCCCACGAAAGCTTATGCTCTAATAAATTTGTTAGTCTCAAAGGTGCCACAAGTACTCCTGTTCTTTTTAAAAAATGTTTCCAAAGATTTTAGGCATAACAAAGGGTTTTATATCTTACTAAAAGGTACTGATTTTGCCGGAGGGTTCTCTTAAAACTGGTTCATCAGATAGAAGTAAAGAAAGGGAAGCTTTCCAGCTATCTGGAAGGAAAGGGGTGTTGTCCCTTTAAAAAGAAAAGGAGTACTTGTGGCACCTTAGAGACTAACCAATTTATTTGAGCATGAGCTTTCGTGAGCTACAGCTCACTTCAAAGTGAGCTGTAGCTCACGAAAGCTCATGCTCAAATAAATTGGTTAGTCTCTAAGGTGCCACAAGTACTCCTTTTCTTTTTGCGAATACAGACTAACACGGCTGTTCCTCTGAAACTTGTCCCTTTAAAGGCTCTCTTCAATGTGGGGAGGGGGAAGGGAAAGGGGGTGAAGGGAAAAAGGGATAGACAGAAAGGACAGGAAGACTTTGGAAGCATTTTTTTTTACTATAGTAATTAAAATATGTATTTTAGATAAGGGTGGTCTTTGAAGGATTTATTTAAAAAACTCTTATGTCTGAAGATCCAAGCATTTAAGGCTAAAGATGATTGTGCATCTAAAAATCTATGCAAGGATTTTTTAGGGATGTGATTTTATAATCTTCACCAACACACTAATGAAATATTTTTAAAGAAAATTTTAAACTAAGGTCCTGTAGACTGACATGTTCTGAGTAAATATTACAGTCATGCACAACTGTTTTTGTCAGAAAGAAAAGGAGTACTTGTGGCACCTTAGAGACTAACCAATTTATTTGAGCATGAGCTTTCGTGAGCCACAGCTCACTTCATCAGATGTTTACCGTGGAAACTGCAGCAGACTTTATATACACACAGAAATCATGAAACAATGATTTCTGTGTGTATATAAAGTCTGCTGCAGTTTCCACGGTAAACATCTGATGAAGTGAGCTGTGGCTCACGAAAGCTCATGCTCAAATAAATTGGTTAGTCTCTAAGGTGCCACAAGTACTCCTTTTCTTTTTGCGAATACAGACTAACACGGCTGTTCCTCTGAAACCTGTTTTTGTCAGTAAATTCAGAAACTGACAGTATATACCCAGGGGTTGGCAAATGCCTGTTAAATGGCTTCATTACCCCTTGAATGGCTCTTTAACAGTTTCAGTGGTGTGCTAATAGGTCTGGCATCTGGAGGCTTTTTCACTTTTAACTACTAGATCCCCTCCCAAGGAAGACACCAGGCTGCAGCAGTGGGAACAGGGCTAGGAAAGCCAGGAGGGTGGACACTAAGACTCAGTGCTCAAATAAATTGGTTAGTCTCTAAGGTGCCACAAGTCCTCCTTTTCTTTTTGCGAATACAGACTAACACGGCTGTTACTCTGAAACCTGTCACTAAGACTCAGTGGTGCCCCAAATTTGCAGGTGCCCTACGCGGCTGCGTATGTTGCCTATGCCTGAGGACAGCCCTGGGGTGGGCCATGCCCTGAGCTCTGTGCAGCCAGGTCTACATGGCATGACAGACGGTGGCCTGCTGGGGCTGGCTGCTCACCTTGGCTATTCACACACACCCGCCCATACAACCCCCCGCTCATTGGTGCGTTAGCCTCGGCGATGTTTATAAAATGGCCCCATTTGGCTGTTATGTGTTGTGCCCTGGGCTCCAGATGTCCTCTGGGCAACAGGTCTACTGGGCCCTCTGGACACTGGGCCAACAGGGCCTGCGGAGCCTTGTTTGGGTGGTTTTCTGTGTCGTTGCTCTTGGTTTAACCTGCAGCCCAGGTGCTGCACTGGGGCTGTTGAGTGGGGTTAACCAGCCCCAGCGTGTCGCAGCCTGGGTGGGCTTGGGAACACTCCGAGCCCAGAGGCTCCTGCTGCAACACAAAGGGGAACTGGGGGCTTATGGCAGTAGGGCATCGCCCCAGAGTCATGCCAGGGAAGAGTTTGACGTATCTGGACAGGGCCTCCCGCATTAACTTGGTCAGGGACGCCACAGCCCCACTGAGGCAGGCAGGCTGCGAGGTCAGGGCAGCTGGCTGGTGGGGAGAGCCGTATGAAACGGCCAGCACTGCATTCGCCCCTCCTAATGAGACCCAAGGGAATGGCTCAGGGCAGTGATCACAGGCACGAGATCTCCATGGCACCCAAGAGCACCCCAGGATCCTGCCTGTCTGTGGTCATTGAAGATCCCAGAGTAATTCTTACAAGAGAGGGCTGGTGACCAACTGCCACTGTGGGGGTCTAGGCCCTGTGTAGCTAACTGTCCCCCACTCCCGGCAGCGGCAGCTGGCCATGGCAGGCCACTTTGTCCTGGTGCCTGTGCACCAGAACCACCATTTAGCCCCTCAGGACATCGATTTCCCCTGCTGCCACCCCCCCCCCTTCACCTCCAGTGCCAAACTGGTGTGTGGTGGTGCTGAAAGTTTTTAGATGGCTGCTGCACTACACCCCAGAGGTGGCTGCATTTCAGTGGTGGGTGAAATGACCCCAACCTTACAGGGAGGGCTGTGAGCCTTAGTTCATCGCTGTTTGTAAAGGGCTTTGAGCGCCTGGGCTGAATGGGACAAGCACGTTATCACAGCGTACCATCGCACAGTCACGGCTCCCCCCGTTTCCTCTGGCACAGCTCCGGACCTCCGGCAAATGGGTTCCAACACGGCTACAGCAACTGAGCAGGGCACGTGTTGGCCCTGCTGCCCTGAGGAAGGGGCCTGGCGTGAGGGCTGACCAGCCTGCAGCTGCACGCTTTCCTTCCTTCCTCCTTAGGGCATCTGACAGCAGGTGGGAGGCAGGGTATTCAGAGCACCGTCTTCATTACATGCAGCCCATCAGCTCAGAACAGGCCCCTGGACCAGAGCTCGCCAGCCCCCAACAGCCCCCGCTTCCCCCAGCAGAAAAACTTGTCCCGCTTACTTGACTCTCATCTCAACGAAGACGCGACGGGGCTCCTCAGAGCTTGGCAGATGCTGTGCTGAGTCTGCAGTGGCGCCCCTCCTGCTACGGCAGGCTGCCTAGGGCAGGAGTCACTCCAGTGCTGGGCAAAATCCAGCTGCACACAGGGAGGCACTAGGATTCCTCTGAGCCCACCACTGCAGGCTCTCCCAGCTGCTGGATTATGCTGTTCAGAACCCCCCTGGCAGCAAGCCTGTGTCGCTCTCCTAGGTGCCGCTGTCCTCTGGTACTAGAAACTTCTGCGTAGCTTATTGCTGAGCATGAGTGTGAGGTGGGCGACCCGACCACATTTCCTGTGATGTGCGCAAGTGCTGGAGAGGAGGCTGGCGTGCTCATTTCTGTTTCTGCTCAGAGAGCAGCTGCTTACAGCATCCTGTTTCCATGGGGCAGGTGTCCCTGTGAATGGGACCAGACCCATATCTGCTGATGCTGGCTGGGGGTACTGGGGAAGGGTGCAGGGGCAAGACACCCTTCCTCTGGAGCCAGCCTTGAGAACTTGGCTGGTCCGGAGCTGTCGGCACCAGCCAGCTGGTGAATTCCTCCCCGGGACTGGACTCAGGGTTTAAACACACACACATCTACAGGCATGCACATCTGAACCCCACCCCACCCCCCTGTACAGGTACACACACCTGAACCCCTCCTCCCGTACAGGTATGTACACCTAAACTGCCCCCCCCCATGTGTGACTGAACCCCTCCCCCTAGTACAGGTACAGACATCTGAACACACCCACTCATGTACAGGCATTTGCACATACACCCAAAAGTTTCAAACAGCCCTTTGGTTTCCTGGTGTGGGTATAAAATAACCCTCCAGGCATTTAGCCCCTTGGCTCCTCACCAGTCCAGCCCCCCTGCTCAAGCAGGAAAGCCCAGGGAGGGCCCAGAGAGCCAGGCTGCTGATTAGCTCCTGCTGGCCCCCATGCAAAGCAGGTGGAAATGCTCCTTGAGCGGCCTCCCCTCGCTCCTGTGCTCCACGCTGGCTTGGCACAGGGGTCAGCCGCTCTGTGCAGTGCCAGGCAGGGCAGCGTGAAGACCCCTGGACCAGCTGGGACCAGCTGGCCTTGGGCGCATGGGGTCAGTTACCCATTTATTACCCGCGAACAGCTCGCTCCCTAACCAGATTCCGTGTCTGAGCCCTCCTGCCCGTCTGATAGCCCCCTCGTGCTTTGGTCCGGCCCCCAGCTCCGGCCTGAAGCAGGGCACTCTGGGTGCAGAGCCTCCACTGTAACGCACATGCCATGCTGCTCCAGCGGGGAGGAAGGGGCAGGCTGGAGGCACGGGCACAGTGCTCCTGACTGATGGGCAATTGCCCCGGGCTCAGTGCAGCGATAACCCCCCGTCAGTGGAAAAACAGTGGGCTGGTTCCAAGCAAGTCGGCACGCTGGGCTGCGACGGCTGTGCAGGGCTGCTCAGCTCCCGGCTGCAGTGCAGGAGATCTTATCTGCCCCAGCACCGACACTAGCCTGCGTGTCACGGCACCATCACCACGCTCCAGCCCACGTGCTTACGCTGGAGAGGAGGCGGTAGCTTCATGGAAACTGTGTGACGGAGCCTGGGCGCTCTGAGCACAAACAGCCGCCAGCCAGCAGCGTGCTGGGCACTGGGGCAATTCACGAGAGCCCCCCAACTCACACAGGGCCCCAAGTCCCAGCAGTGCTGGCTCCTTGCCAAGCCCCTAGCCCCTGCACGCAGGCCACAGGCCATTCTGTTTGCTGGTTCCAGCCGCTCCCTTGCTTAAGCTCTGGTGCAGGCAGGCGCCAGGCTCCGTCGCTGCTCACAGGGGGTGTCCTCCGAACGTCTGCGTGAAGCTGGATATTGTGTTTGTGTGAGAGCGATGCGCACTGGGCGGTGGAGGCCGGGCTCAAAAGAGAGACAGCCCCACTGGCCGGGCGGTGACGTTCTGCAGGGCAATCCTGCTGTTCTGGAGGAAGTTACCTGCAACTGAAGGGCACAAACTGAGCGCACACACGACTTGCCCTCTCCTGGTTTTAGAAAGCCTGGCCAATGATAGAGGAAGTAACAGACCAACTTCCCTAAGCCAGCTCCAGAATGGTGCCCCTGGGGACATAAGGAAGCATCCCAGGAGCATAGGGAATCCCAGACCAAGAGAGGCCAACAGTCCATTTAGTTTGGTGTCCTTTAGCCAACAATGACTAAGCCCAAATGCTACAGAGAAAGGTGCAAGGAGCCCATGGTGAGACTCCTTGTAACCCCATGAGAGGTCAGCATGTGCCCTGGAGCTGCTATACCTCTGGTGCAGTGTCTGTGGCTGCTCTCATTATCCATATAAATGTCCAGTCCTTGCTCACTCCTGCTATGCTCTTGTGGCAATGAGTTCCACAGGCTGGTTACGTCGTGTGCTGAAACATATTTCCTTTCACGTGTTGCCTGCCAGTTTCATTGGGTGTCTCTTGCTTCTAGTGCAGTGGTTTTCACCCTTTTTTCATCTTCAAACCCCTAAACTTTTTTAAATGGAGGTGCAGAGCCCTTTGGAAATCTTAGACAGTCTGCAGACCCCCAGGGGTCCACGGACCACAGGTTGAAAAACAAAAACAAAAACGGTTACTCACCTCTCGTAACAGTTGTTCTTTGAGATGTGTTGCTCATGTCTATTCCAATTAGGTGTTGTCGGAAAGATTTTCCCCTAACAGCATCATTGGGTTGGCTGTGGAGGCCCCTGGAGTGGCGCTTTCATGGCGCTCAATATGTGAACCTACCAACCCAGCGCCCCCTCCGTTCCTTCTTGCCAGCTACTCTGACAGAGGGGAAGGCGGGTGGGTTTGGAATGGACATGAGCAACACATCTCGAAGAACAGTTATGAGAGGGGAGTGATGGATTTTTCTTCTTCAAGTGATTGCGCATATCGATTCCAATTAGGTGACTCCCAAGCCTTACCTAGGCGGTGGGGTCAGAGTTAAGGAAAGGCTGATTGCAGCACTGTTCTACCGAAAGCCGCGTCGTCTCTGACATGCCAGATGATGGCGTAGGGAGAGGTGAAGGTATGCACCGAGGACCAAGTTGCTGCCCTGCAGATTTCTTGGATCGGGACTTGGGCCAAGAATGCCGCTGACGAGGCCTGGGCCCTTGTAGAGTGCACAGTAAGAGCCAGAGCTGGTATGTTGGCCAGCTTGTAGCATGTGCGGATGCACGACATGATCCAGGCGGATATTCTTTGAGACGAGACCAGGAGTCCTTTCATCCAGTCTGCCACTGCTATGAACAGCTGGTTCGACTTTCTGAACGGCTTAGTGCGCTCGATGTAAAAACCTAGTGCACGGTGAACACTGAGGGAGTGGAGCTGCTGTTCCCTGATATTGGCATGAGGCTTAGGGTAAAAGACAGGTAGGAAAATGTCCTGACTGGTGTGGAAGTGCGACACCACCTTGGGGAGAAAGGCCAGATGTGGCCTGAGTTGCACCTTATCCTTGTGGAAAACCATGTAAGGTGAGTCGGAGGTGAGGGCCTTTAGCTCAGAGTCCCTCCTCGCAGACATAATGGTGACCAGGAACACTACCTTCCAAGACAGGTACAGGAGGGAGCAAGTTGCCAGTGGTTTGAATGGGGGCCCCATAAGCCTGGAAAGGACCACGTTAAGGTCCCACGTAGGGACAGGCTGCCGGATCTGGGAATGTAGGTGGTCCAAACCTTTAAGGAAGCAACCAACCACAGGGTTGGCGAAGATGGCTCGACCAGATGCTCCTGGTTGGAAGCCCGAGATAGCACCGAGGTATACCCTTATGGAGGACACCACCAGGCCTTGCTGTTTCAGGTGCAGGAGGTACTCCAAGATAAGGGGTACCGGTGCCTGGAGAGGGGGTGTGCGACGCTTGTCACACCAACACGAGAATCTCTTCCACTTTGCCAGAGACGTGGCTCTAGTGGAGGGCTTCCTGCTGCTGAGGATGACCTCCCTTGCTTGTTCTGAGCTCAGAAGTTCCATAGGGTTCAGCCACGAAGCTTCCAAGCCGTGAGGTAGAGGGATCGTAGGTCGGGGTGATAGAGGCGACCGTGGTCCCAAGTGAGTAAGTCGGGGAGGAGCAGGAATGTGACCGGTGCCTCCACCAATAGCTCCAGTAGCATGGGGTACCAGAGTTGTTGAGGCCACACTGGAGCTATCAGAATTACCTTTGCCCCCTCCCTGCGGACCTTGAGCAGTACCTTAGGAACAGGGGAAAGGCATAGAGCAGGTGACCTCTCCAGAGTAGCAGGAATGCATCCATGAGGGAGCCTGGGCTGCGACCCTGGAAGGAGCAGAACATTGGACACTTCCTGTTGCGTCAGGTGGCAAACAGGTCGACCTAGGGAAACATCCACCTTTGGAAAATGAGGTGTAGGACATCTGACCAGATGGACCACTTGTGCATGTGGAAGGACCTGCTGAGGTAGTCGGCCAGCATGTTCTGAACTCCTGGTAGAAAGGATGCTTCCAGGTGAATGGAGTGGGTTATGCAGAACTCCCACAGTCAGAGGGCCTCCTGGCATAGGGGAGAGGAACGGACTCCCCCTTGCTTGTTGATGTAAAACATGGCGCTGGTGTTGTCCATTAGAATCACTACGCACTGGCCTTGCAGTTGGGCCTGGAAGGCTTGGCAAGCGAAGTGCGCCGCCCTCAGCTCCTTGACGTTGATATGTAGGGAGAGCTCGTCCTGTGACCACAGGCTCTATGTCTGGAGGTCCCCCAGATGCGCCCCCCATCCCAGAGCCGACGTGTCTGTAACCAGGGACAAGGAAGGTTGAGGATTGTGGAAAGGGACTCCACTGCACACCACTTGGGGGTCAAGCCACCAGCAAAGGAACAGGAGTACCTGCCCTGGCACCGTGACCACTGAATTCAAGCTCTTGCACCCCTGGCGGTAGGCTGAGGTGAGCCATGTCTGCAACGGTCTGAGACGCAACCTGGCGTGCCAGGTCGCATAAGTGCAAGAAGCCACGTGACTGAGACTCAGGCACCCCTTGCTGTTGTGGTGGGAATTGCTGGAGGGTTTGAATGACGTCCATGATGGCTCGGAATCAGGACTCCGGTAGAAGGGCTCACGCCTGGACCGAGTCTAACACTGCCCCAATGAATTCTATTCTCTGGGTGGGTTCCAGGGTTGACTTCCCCAAGTCGAGGAGGAGACCCAGCTGCTCTAACATGCACCTGAGCAAACAGATTTGGGACTGCACCTGTACCCTGGTGTGGCCCCTGAGCAGCCAGTCGTCGAGGTAGGGGTATACTTGCCTCTGCTGGTGACAGAAGAAAGCAGCCACCTCCTACATGCACTTGATGAACACTCGGGAAGCTGTTGAGAAGCTGAATGGT